GGGGGGGGGGGGAAAAAAAAAAAAAAAAAAAAAAAAAAAAAATAGTGATTAAACGGCTTCTAAGACTGAGGGATACAGGAAACTCTTCTGAGCAAGAAAAAACTGTAAGATGTAAGACATGGATCATGTAGAGAGATTACAAAATGTCTTTAAAGTAATCGTGGGATTTGCTGGGATTTGCAGTTCGAAGCTTATTCAGCTTTTGTCACATAGAACATGCATATCACGAAAAGATCTACTTTTCTGACATGAAGATGAGGGCCTCAGAGGTAGATCTCTACTTGGTTAGCTGGAATGCAGCCCCCTTTTGCCTCCAAGCAATCTGGACTCCAGAGGCTCCTCGCAGCGCTCTGTACTTCTGTGACATTAATTACATGCATTATGCTTATTTCTGACTTTCAACCTAACTAGACAGTGGGCTGCTCAAAGATATGAACTTGATCTTAGAAATACCCACATCCACACTATCTAACACAGTTCCTGGTGCATAGAAGTTGCTCAGTTCATCCACTGCGTGAATGACGCCATAGTCTGCCTTAGGCTGTAACCGTGTGTCTCCTCTGCTCTGCTCTTCCCAGGGGCCTGAGTGAGACCATGGTCTGTGGCACCTGGCACACAGTCAGGCATTGGATTTCATTCTCTCTGAGGGAAGAAAGTAGCAGATTGTTCAAGGAGAACAGAGTGGGGACAAGACTGTCCTGATTCACACATCAGACTGGTGTTAGGATCGAAGGGTTGACAGTTAATGGAAGAAAGAACTCTTTTGTCTTTATGGAAAAGACTTTGTTCCTGAAAAAGTTGCGTTTACTTATTTATCCTCAATTTTTTGACTCCTCAGCTAAGAGATGGGTTAAAGATGTTTGCAGCTGCCTGGTAACTCAGGGATGGCACACCTTCTGTCCCTGCTGCAGGTCATTCTTTTCTGCGTGTTTTCTAGGGAGGCCTGGAAAGCCCTATCTCACAATCACCCACTTCTTTGCCTAGCTGAATTGCCTGATCCTAGTCTTCAGCCTGGAGATCACGTCAACTGAGAAATCTTCCTTGATTTCCCTGAGATGTGTTTTAAGTGTCCCTCTTCTTTCCTTTGTAGTACTCTTTTATCTTCCCTTTTACAATTATGTCATGTAATATTGTGCTGGTGGATCATTTGTCTCGTCAACTGAGAAATCTTCCTTGATTTCCCTGAGATGTGTTATAAGTGTCCCTCTTCTTTCCTTTGTAGTACTCTTTTATCTTCCCTTTTACAGTTATGTCATGTAATATTGTGCTGGTGGATCGTTTGTCTCCCTTATTGGACTGTGAAGTACTTGAGGGAAGAAAAGCCCTATGTATTTATTCATCTTTGTATTTCCAAAGTTTAGCACAATTCTTAGCATCGATTAGACACTTAGAAAAGTTGGGTGGATGAACAAATGGTTTTCCTTGAGAACGTATCCTTGAGAGCACAGCTATTTAGGTTAACATGTTAAAATATACAAAGCTGTTTCAAATAACTTCTCATTTAACCCTCCCACTCTATGAATCAAGCACTGTTACACCCACTTTACAGATGAGAAAACAAAGAATCAAAGAGATGCACAGCTAACTAATGGCAAAGCATGGATATAACACTAAGCCTTTTGATTCTGAACCCACTGCAGTCATGACATTGGATCAAAAGCTTATTTTCTGTTTCAGCTGAATGAATCATCAGTACCTTAGACATAAAATTTACTATTTTCTATTTACTATTTACTATTTTCTGAACTCATTAAAGGAAAGACAGAAACATGATTCTTAGGGCTGGCACAAATCTGACTATGGAGAAGCCTCCCAAGGACTGTTCTCAGCTTATGTTACTTGAGGAGGGAAAAACACATTTATTATAATACATACTACAGTGAACATGCTTCATATTTCCCAGCAAGACAGTTTTCTGAAAAAAATACAAATGCTTTTACGTTTATGCTGATTTCCAGAATTTGTTCCATGAATGAGGATGGCATTGTATAATATGTCCAAATAAGTAAATAATCCCAGTTTTCTCCAGATCAGTGGAACTTGTCCAAGTTATAATCCATAAACGTTTTTCCCAGTTTTATATGCTGATTTCAAAAGAAAAGTCTAAAATAATTACATAAAATACAATTTGGTCTAAAAAATATATTTTCTTCTCCAGTTTCCCCAAAGGAATATGGGCAGAGTTATGATGCCCACTGCCAACAAAGGTTATTCCTTCAGACAGAGATAATTATAGCGTTTGTTTGGAACTTACCTTTGGAAAGAGAAAGAGTTGCAGATTTACCTTGTCCCAAACAGATCATTCCGAGTAGTAAAAACAGCTTATTCTTACTTATAGGCATTTTGAGATTCAGGGTTTTCCCCCTGACGTTTTAAGGAGACTAAAGAGAATCTAAGCCTTGTGAGACCAGCAATAAGCCAATTTCAATGGAGGTTATTCAATAACCGAGACTCGAGCCATTCAACCATGTCCATGTCCATGTGATGTTTCTGAATGTGGTTTCTTGCCAAGATCTTTGGAAGATGTGGGAGTCAGCCGCAGAAGCATGGTCTTGATCGAGCAAGATTATATCTCCCATTACTCTCACATCAATTCGGTGCTTCCCAGAGTGTACCTGGCTAGCCAAGTGGTTGGAGTCTCAGTAACGGGTTGCAAACATTACTTGCTTCTTAGTACAAGTTACCGCTTTCTACAAGAGCATTGGGCATCACACTTGTCCTTGTTTCCAAGGATAGACTTTACTACATGCCTGTAAACATCCCAAGAGAATATGCTAGAACGTTTTTCTTTCTCTTATTTTCCAAGTGTAAATGAACGGTTATAACCATGTGTTAGAGAAGGAGAGGAGAGGAAAGACAGTTTGGTAGCAGTCAGGAAATCAGGCGACTAGACAATCCTTTAGGGTACCGTCCATCGGGGCATTTGTGACACTGCACTCTCTCACTGTTGTTTTGTATTTATAGAAGGCAAATGCTAAATCTCCTTTACTTCTACACCTGGTAGGTGATGTGGCATGGGGAGGTGACTCGGATTATGTGTAGATATTCTTCTTCCCTGGCTGAGTTTGTGACATGTGGTCAATGTGTGAGAAACAGCTGCGGGTTGGCTGGTGCTGTCATGACCACATAAGAAGCTGTATGGAAAGTGGGAAATGCCAAGGCTGAGTGAGTTAAATTGTAGGTCACTTTCACACAGACAGAAGCATCGTGGCTTTTCCTGCAGCTCCCTAAGGTGCGACTATGAACCACAGGACAGTTGCTCCAGGTCATAGCTGCTTCTCAGAAATATCACAGATGATCAAAGCATAGCCCCCATTAATTATGTTGACCCAAATCAAGTTTCAAAACTAATTGGACCTATGCACTGTAATGCTTATATGCAAATAACAAAGAGAATAAACGAGGCCCCCGAGACCTTAATGAATATCTCAGGCAGCATAATGGTGTAGGTGCATGTAAACACCTGATTTTCTCAGTCTCATTGGATTTCCAGTGGAATATTAGCAAACCTGTGCATATCTGATGCTGAGGTACTTAAGATTTTGTATTCCAAATGGTTCTAAATCCTGCATAAATAAGCCCTGTTATATAGAGGTGATTCCTGGTGTCTGTGCCCCTTATAATATTTGACCAGCAGCTAACATTTGTTACTGACTTTTAAATGCCCTTTGTGTTTGTAGTAGAAGCCAATAGTTGCTTATTTGAAGTATATTCTCATTTATGGATTATTCATTTAATGCCATCCATTGTGGGGTCTTTAACACAACATCATCTCATTTAACAGTGACTATGAGAGGTAAATGTTATTTTATAATTTTTTTAAATAAGGAAATTGAGTCTTAGAAGGGTTATGTAACTTTTCTAAATCCCCAGCTATTAAGTGACACTCCTAGAATTTATTCCTCAGAGCTTCTGGCTCTGAAATCTTATTTTCCTTTTGTTATAGCCCTGTATGTTATGTTTTCCATATCATACTGGCACTCATATTTTGAATTCAAGTCTTTCATGTAGATATTTTCTTATAAAAATACAAGATCTATTCCAGATTTGTGTCTTTTAACCTCTCATGCAATCCTAGGACTAATTAATGAAACCAGAAATTTAGTATTCTTACATTAATGTGTCAAATTCATTCATATGGAAACACAAAGAACTCCATGGCCAAAATAATCTTAAGAAAGGACAAAGCTATAGGCATCACACTTCCTGATTCCAAAATATATCACAAAACCACCGTAATTAGAAGAGTGTAGTACTGGCGTAAGAGCAGACATACAGACCGAGGAAGAGAACAGTGACATTCAAATAAACCTTTGCATGTACAGTCAGCTAATTTCCAACAAGGGCATCAAGAATGCAAAGTGGGGAAAGGACAGTCTCTTCAATAAATCGTACTGGGAAAACTGAATATCCACAAGCAAAAGAATGAAATGTAACCCTTATTTTACACTTTTCACAAAAATCAATTCTAAAGGGAATAAAGACTTAAATGTAAGACCCAAGACTGTAAGAAGAAAACATAGGGGGGAAGCTTCATGTCATTGGTGTTGGCAATAGACACCAAAAGCACAGGCAACAAAAACAAACACAGACAAGTGAAAATACATCAAATTAAAAAGCCTTTGCACAGCGACGGGAACAATTAACAGAGTGAAAAGGAAACTACAAAATGGGGGAAACTATTTTCAAATCATATATCTAACAAGGGGTTAATTTCCAAAACATACAAGGAGTTCATACAACTCAATAGCCAAAAAAACGAATAACTGTTAAAAAGTGGACTAAAGATTTTAATAGACATTTCTCCAAAGAAGGCATAAAAATGGCCAACAAGTACTGAAAAAGTGCCCAACATCACTAATCGTCATGTAAATGCAAATCAAAACCACAATGAAATATCACCTCACACTTGTCAGGATGGCTGTTTTCAAAGAAACAAAAGACAAGTGCGGGTGAGGATGTGGAGAAGGGAAACCCTTGCACATTGTTGCTGGAAATGCAAAATCATCCAGCTGCTACGGAAAACAGAATGGAGATTTCTCAAGTAATTAAAAAGAGAGCTTCCGTGTGATTCGGTAATCCCACCTCTAGAAATTTATCTTAAAGAATTAAATCAGCATCTCAGAGAGATATTAGCACTCCCATGTTCATTGCAGCGCTATTCACAATAGCCAAGATAGAAAAGTAACCTAAATGTCCATTGACAGATAAATGGAATATTACATGACCATATTGTAATGGAATATAAATGTCCATTGACAGATACAATGGCATATATTCAGTCTTAAGAAAGAGGAGAATTCTGCAATATGCAACAACATGGATACACCTAGAGGACATTATGCTAAGTGAAATAAGCCAGTCACAGGACTAATACGCATGATTCTACTTTATGAGGCATTTAAAATAGTCACACGTGTAGACTCAAGAATGGAATGATGGTAGCCAGGGATTAGGATTAGAGTGAGATGGGGAGTTGCTAATCAATAGGCATAAAATTTAATTAAGCAGGACGAGTAAATTCTAGAGATCTGCTGTAGAACATTGTACCATAGTTAACAATACTGTATTGTGTATACTTAAAAACTTAAGAGGATAAGTCTCATGCTAAGTGTCTTTACCACAATAAAACAAACATTTTAAAAAGTAGATCATTCATTTATTCAGTCAGTCATTTATTTGTTTAGTACTGCTATGTCCTAGGCAGTCTGTAGTGCTCTAGAAATTAATGTTGAACAAGGCAGACACAATTCCTCCCTCATGGAAGCTGAAGGACAGTAGGCAACGAAGTTAACAGACAGAAGCTAGACTTTGGTTGGTGAAAACACAGAGTACACAGATACAGAATTATAATGTTGTACACCTGAAATTCATATAATGTTATTAACCAGTGTTACCTCAATAAAGTTAATTTAAAAAATTATCCAATAAAATTTTCAAATCATTAAAAAAAAGTCAGAGCCAACTCAGTGCCACATAACACACACAGAGGCAAAAAAGACAGTAAGCAATTCTTTACAGTGGTAACTAGTTGAGAACATGATAAGTGCAAAACGTATTTCAGGGTTCACTGAAACTGTTCACCAGGATAATATAACTTAGTCCATGATATCAGGGGTGAAATAAATTTAAACCTGAGACATAAGGGGGCTAGGAGTTAGTTTTCTATTGGATGGGGGTAGAGTGATGAATACAGTCATCAAACTGTTTGTAGTTGGGTAAAGACAGATGTGGGAACATCGGTTTAACTTTAGGTCATAGCATATGTCTGATACTAGAAAGATTAAAAAAATTAAACACTAATTCAACAAACCTGTTTAGTAGCTCCTGTGTTCCCAGCACTGCACCATTAAAAGGGGACAGAAAAATAATTAGAAACAGCACCTTCACACCTGGGAGAGAGCAAGATCTTCCACTATAATGGATACTAACTAATCAAGTGGTGTGAACACAGTGTGAGGAGGACAAGGGTGAAAGGAAGGCAGTTCTCCCAGATGTGATCTGGGGTGTTTTCGTGGAATCAGTTGCCATCTGTTTCTATCATATCAGCCACTGTTGGGCTTCCTTAAGACCTAAAGGAACCGTGTCTTTCTAGGACAGGTGCAACCTCACAACACGTCCATTTTCTACTTTGTTGGACTTGAGGTGTTTGAGTTGTGAGGTCCTCCTAATGTCCATTATCAGGCTTAGCATTGTTCTGAAGGTTATTGATCCATGGGCTCCTTCAAGCCAGAATCAGAGGAAACTGGAGAATGTTCTGTGTGGCTGTGGTTCAAGAACATAACTGGAGTGAGCTTCATTGTTTCATTAGAAAGCATATGTGTTGGTGGATCAGAGTTGGTGGGGGGAGGGAAGAGTGTGTGCCTGTGTGAGAAATGTCTCCTGCCAGCAAGCATGGGGTGTACCTCAGGTGTCCTAGGACAAACCTATAATACACATGGAAAATACATGTTTTAAAAATATATATGTCACTTATCATGTTGAAAATAATATTGCAGTTCCATTGGATGCACGTCTATAAATTAAACCATATTAGCAAACCCAAATAAGCTCTAAGCATAGGGGACCTGAAAACCTGGACTACTGACTATAGCCACATTTCAGAAGTGCCACAAATTGCCACAGGCATATTAGTTATGTTGATCTAATAATAAACTTCAATGATAAAATTTATATTTTTTCAATTTAATTAAATTGCAATATTAAATTTTTTATTTAATTAAAAAATAAATGGAACCTCTGAGTATTTAAACACATTTCATTCATACACTTAAAATTTTTTAAAATTAAAGTGTAATTGGCATACAATATATTATTTCAGGTATACAGAAGTTACAAGACATTGCAGTGATCACATCATTCATATACTCTTACTTAATCATGTTTACATGTTACTTCTCTGCCCCAGTAGGCATGCACATGTAATTTCTCAATTCCAAGGGATTTTCAGTGTAATTTTCCAAATCAAGTGAAGTAATTACTTTGTAATTACAGGATGAAGTCAGTGATTTGGACCTTGTCTCAAATGACTTAAATCTAGCTTTGCTATATGGTAACAATTCCTTAGAGTCCATCCTGAGTGTTGCAGTGGGTGGGTCACTAGTTTATACCTGTTCCTTTTTTAAGGACACAGAAATATTTGATTCTTTTATATGTACCAGAAGTTACCAGTTGATTATTTCAATCCAATTACTAGTAAGTGGGCATTTATTCGTTTTGTAAACAGTGTTTGGTATTTTTATCCACATCATAATACTTAACACAAGAATCACATGAGGTATGTACTATTATTTCCTTTTCACAGGTTAGGAAATAGAAGATTAAACATTTTTGGAACTTGCCTGGGATTCTCTAGACAGTGGGGGGAAGAGCTGGACACTGATCCGAGGTTCGCATGGCTCCAGAGTTCGTGGAAGTTTTGCACATCCCTTTGCCTTCCTTGCTGGCATTCAGAGCCAACTTAGAAAACATTTGTGTCTTTCATATATCTGTTTTCTTGAAAAAACAGAATTCATTTCAGGTGTGGCTTTTTGTCTTGTTAAAAAAGCCAGAACTTGAGAATTTAGACACATAATCCTAGTACTATTCTTACACCGCATACCATTGTTGTGAGCCACATGTAACACTGAGTAAATCGTGCATGGGTGCTGGTTGTTATGCATGTATGTTTTCTTAATTTCTCCTCATATAGAGGTTTCTAAGAAAAAAAGCAAATTACTCAGAAGAATATGTTGGTCTTTAAATTAGAGGAGCCATGGGAGTGACTGAATGTAACGATTATATTCTTTCCTGTCCTTGAGTGTGTGCTCCAGTTTGAACTAAGGAAGTATTTTCTGAAGTGCTAATATCTTTGTTTCAATCTAATTTCCTAGCTTCCCTAACTGGCTACTTCTACCCCTATCTCCTTAACTCTCCCCTCCCCCTGTCCCTGTCATATACCCCACTTCTTATTTCCCTATAATTGCTTAAGAGAACTGATAAAACTAAAACCTATCTAATGCAGGTCCCCAAATGCTTCAGTTCCCTTTCTAATTAATCCTAGTCCATGAAAATACCTAGACTCTTCTTAATGCTCATGCGGTGCCATAAGTGTGAAAAAGTACGGTGTCGGAGATAAGTCCTGCAAGGTTTTGCAAAATATTCAGGATTTGGCTCATAGCAATAGTAAAAATTCTTTGGCCACTTCACCTTGAACATAGACACCTTCTGGGCCTTGGTATCAATTATTATAACTAAGGATGTGGCTTTTTTAATTCTAGGAAAAGGGTCAAACAAGAAAGAGATGTCAAATGAACCCCATATTTTTGGCCCAATAATTGAATAAATGGTGATAGTATTTACTAAGGTAGAGAATACTGGGGCAGAGGCATATTTGGGATGGAAATGGAAAATCAAGAGCTGGCCTTTTTGTAATCATTTAGGTTATTTACAGTTTCTGTTATTAAAATCAATATTGCTGTAAACATCCTTTTACATATCACTTGTGCAAAAGGGGAAGACTTACTCCGTGGGCTACAAATAGAAGAAAAATCATTGGGCCCTAAGGTAATTGGGTCTTCAATTTTAATATTTTCATGGAATTGGAAAAGAAAATGTGTGTTCACAAAATATTCTATAGGTGGGGCAAAGTTACCATTTAAAATTTTTAATTATAAGGTTATGTTTAGGTGTATAGGTTAAACGTGGGGTCATTTCCGCCCATTTAACCTCCTCTGGTTCTGGTTTCAATAGGCACCCTTAAATGGATAGATGGAGACTGAAAATCATACCACAGTGACAGAGTTCATTATCCTGGGATTAACAGATAACCCCACACACACTATGTGCCATCTTCTTTGTGATTTTTCTAGGGGTTTACATAGTTACCATCGTGGGCAATGTCAGCATAATCGTCTTAATCCGAAGCAGCCCGCAGCTGCACACCCCAATGTACCTTTTCCTGAGCCATTTGGCCTTTGTGGACATTGGCTACTCCACATCCGTCACCCCGGTCATGCTGAAGACTTTCTTGAGAGAGAACACTACTATCCCTGTGACCGGCTGTATAGTCCAGCTTGGCTCTGATGTTGCTTTTGGGACTACAGAGTGCTTCCTGCTGGCCACCATGGCCTATGACCGCTATGTGGCCATCTGCTCGCCCCTGCTCTACTCCACCCACATGTCCCCAGTGGTCTGTTTCCTCCTCTTGGGGGCTTCCTACCTGGGTGGATGCATGAACACCTCGTCATTTACGGGCTGTTTCATGAACCTGTCCTTCTGTGGACCCAATAAAATCAACCACTTCTTCTGTGACCTCTTCCCACTCTTGAAGCTTTCTTGTGGCCATATGTATATTGCTGAAATTTCTCCCGCCATCTCGTCGGCCTCAGTCCTCGTAAGCACCCTGTCCACCATCATCGTGTCCTACAGCAACATCCTCTACTCGGTCCTGAGGATGCGCTCTGCCGAGGGGCGGAAGAAGGCCTTCTCCACCTGCACCTCCCACCTTACCGCAGTCACTCTGTTTTACGGGACAGTGTTGTTCGTTTATGTGATGCCCAAGTCAAGCTATTCGGCTGATCAGGTCAAAGTGGCTTCTGTGATCTACACAGTGGTGGTCCCCATGTTAAACCCCCTCATCTACAGCCTCAGGAACAAGGAGGTGAAAGAGGCCATGAGAAGGCTAATGGCTAGAACACTGGTTTTCCTGAATTAAACCAATGCAAATCCGTAAACAACAAACCGATGATTTGGGGAACATTTGTGCTGGATATTTTAATGAAATTTATCACTAACTTTATCACTTTTATAGTAAAGAGCTCCTACAAATATAAAAAGCCAATGTTTACTTTCATATATAAAGTTCGATGTATCATTAACATGGATATGTTTGATTCAGATTCAATGTGGGTTTTTCAAGGTAAGAATACCTTCAAAAAATAGTTTTCTACTTAAAATCCCATCCACCAGTTATGAGATTGATTTAAACAGAGGAATATTTCAATGAAGGATCAAATTTAATTGCATTCCATCTTGTAAAATAACATTTTGGAAAGAAACTTGTCGCTGGTAGGTGTGTAATAGGTAATAATATTGAGAAGTCAGGCAGTGCAGGTCGCTTCCTTTAAAGGAACTACCCTGCCCTGGTCACTCGATATTTAAACTTTTGGAAACATTGATGTTATGTCTCAAAAAAGCTCCTATTTATTTTCACTTTGTTTAAGCCAGAGCAAAGATCATGATTCCTCTATTTGGCCATTAAGAGGTCCAACCCACATAACAGAAGAAACTGTGTAAATACCAGCTGACTCTTCTCACAATTTAAATTGTACTAGATGAGGATTTTGGAAGCTGACATTTCTTTGGAGTGGGAGGCTGGGACATAGGGACTTTCTTTCAACAACAGTTGATAGATAAGAGGCATGAAATTATGGTTCAGGCAAAGAATATGTCTGCCACACGTTTTGTAGCGTTCTCAAGGGGATGTCCACTGTCTGTCACTTCTTCCTCCACTGCCCTTCCAAAGGTGCTTATGATCCAGTCTCGTTATGGCAATTGCCTCTAAATTGATTCCGCGCCTCTTCCTGTACTCCTTTCACAATGATTTATGATGAATATTTTAGCTGATGTATTTTATTATTAGCATTTTAATAATGTCAGACAAATTCTGAGACAATTTGGAGGCACCACTTTACCATCTGACTTCTTATTCTGGGTTCTTCACCAACCAGATCAAGGAAACCTTTTCTTCTGCCTGGAAGCCACTTGGTGGAATTTCTCTGGTCCTGTTTCCCCATTCACACCTCTTTACTTGCATAAAGTATGGGCCGCTAATCCCACTGGTGCAATAATTCTGGGGCTAAAGTCAGCACAGACACTGCCCCTTGCAAAGCGAGGGCATTCGAAGGTATGACTTGGTCTTGGAAAGGGCCATCTTTGAGTCGGGGCAGCTCTGCACTCTGGTGGTTGAAGTTCTTCGTTGACTGTTTCTGGCAGTCGTCCGTTTCATCTTTCCCCTGTACTTTGCTTTTCACCAGAGTTCATGCTCTACCCTTCTCCCCACCCCCACGGTCCCCTTGGGTGACCCTGTCTTCTCCCATGAATTCAGCTGCCACCTGTGTGGTGACAGTATCCTTATCTCCTACTACAACCTACCTTGGAGGACAAATAAACTTCTTCACTAGCCTTTTCCCCAAGACTCTCAAACTCAGTGTGCCCTGGCTTATTTATCCTATTTCTCCCCAAACTATTTCTTCTCCTTTGTTCCTGTCTCAATAAATGGCGAATCTTTGTGAGACCTAGCACTCCGACAAGCGTGGGGCAACCCTCACTACCCAGCCATCAGAATGGTCTGCCTCCCTCTATCCTGTTCCTTCTCTCAGATGGAAGACATGTCACATATTGACTTCTTTTTTGTCTAAGTCTCTTTTGTCTAGGGACTCGAAGACTCCTCAGTTGATTCTGATAAGTCTTTGTACAGATTTTTCTTTCATATTTCCACTCTAAGGGAGTCAAATAATTCAATCACCCAGATGTAGGGGGTGTGGTGCGGGACCGTTACAGTCCTTTTGGGAAGGATATACACTGACAGTAATTTTCTCTCCCAAGTTCTAAATCAGCTGAAGAAATAACAAAAAGGGTAGGTATACGGGAGAGCAAAATATTACCTGGACAAATGAAAGAACTGATATTAGAGGATGTGGTAAATATTTGTGGACACTTATGTTTTTGTGTTCTGAATCCTAGAATTTAACACTCTTTCCTTCTCTGTCACTGGCAGTACTGGGAACACTCGGGTCTCTCCAGTGAGACTGGGTTTACAGCATCATCAAGAACAGCCAAAAGCCCTAAGGGCAGGCTTATTCCCAAGAGAAATGGGGAAGAAAAAAGGCTGGGATTGCTGTTCCTCAAAAATTCATCTGTTGAAGTTCTAGCAGCCAGTACCTTAGAATGTGACCTTATCTGGGAATAGAGTTGTTGCAGATATAATTGATTCAGATGAAGTCATATTGGAGCTGGGTGGACCTCTAATCCAATATGACTGATATACTTACACTAAAAAAGGGAGAATTTGGACACAGATAATACACAGGTAAAATACCATGTGAAAATAAAGACAGAGATATGGGTTATGCTTCTACAAGCCAAGGAACTCCAAAGATTGCCAGCAAACCACCAACAGCTAAGCGAAAGGCATGGAACAGATCCCACATCCTTCAGACAGAACGAAACCTGCTGATACCTTGATCTTGGACTTCTAGACTCCAGAACTGTGAAACAAGGAACGTCTGATGTTTAAGCCACCCAGTCTGTGGTGCTCGGTTACGGCTGCTTGTTTCTCAAACTATGTAATACAATTGCAAATCCAAATTTGCTCCTTCTAAGGGAGGAGTGAGTGAAGGCCTAGAAAGATGTCAGGCGTGTTTTGCTAGTGGGTGTCTCTCCAAAAGGGGGATGAAAGAGTATTAGGAATGGTAAAAATCATTTTCTCCTAACAGTGTGTCAAAAAATAAGGGTCAAGGACGTCCCTGTGGGAACAGTGAAGAACACCTTTGATCCTGAACTGTTGTGTTGTTAACAAGGTTGTTAGTCTAGATAAATTTCAGGAAACTTTTCTTCTTCTGAGGTGGATTGAGACTTATGAAGTCATTGGCTTTTTTCTGATTCTGTAAAACACCTATAGAAGAGTATTGGAGAAGACTGAAAGCAAAGGGGCAAGAGGTGATTTCTTGGGGCTGAGGAAGTTATTGTATATTGTGATTGGGGGGGTGGTTATATGAGTGTATAGATTTGTCAAAAGCCATCAACCCGTATATTTAAATTGTGTAAATGCAAATTATACTTAAATAAAGTTGCTAATTGAGAAGATTCTACAAGAGAGTACTCTTTTAATCTGCGGCAACAGGCAGGGATGACAGTATCGTCCACTACCTGCTCACGTAGGCCAATTTTATTTCTTAATTATTTCTCAAAGCTCTTCCCTCACCTATTGTACCTACCCTACTTTCCCATATATTTATTCTTTTTAAATTAAATATATTGGGATAACAATGGTTAATAATATCATGTAACTTCCAGGCATATAGTTTTATAATACATCATATATGTGCTCCCCACCCAAAGTCTAGCCTCCTTCCACCACCACAACGTGACCCCTTTACTCTCTTCACCCTTCTTCATTTCCCTGCCCCTCTGGTATCCACCACACTGCTGTCTGCGTCTATGAGTTTATTTTGTTTGTTGCTTTCTGTTTTATATCCCACATATGAATAAAATGATATGGTTCTTATCTTTTCCATCTGACATATTTCATTTAGCATGATACTCTCAAGGTCCATCCATGTTGTCACAAACGGCAGTATTCCCTCGTTTCTTATGGCTGAGTAGTAGTCCATCGTGTATGTGTCCCACATCTTGATCCAGTCATTGACACTTGGGTCATCTTGCCTATTGTGAGTAATGCTGCAGTGAGCATAGGGTTACATACATCTCTACGAATAACTGTTTTTATTGTTTTCAGGTAGAACACAGAGAGGGGTTACTGGGTCATATGGTAGTTCTCTTCTTAATTTTTTGGGCAACCTCTATATTGTTTTCCATAGAGGCGACACCAATTTACATTCCCATTAGCAGTGTATGAGAGCTCCCTTTTTCCACATCCTTTTGAACACCTGTGCTTTCTTGTATTACTGATAGTGGCCATTTTAACAGGTGTGAGGTAGTATCCCATTGTTGTTGTTATGTAAGTTCTTTATATATTTTGGATATTAGCCCCTTATCATCAGTATCATTTGCAAATATCTTCTTCCATTGGGTTACTTGCCATTTTGTTTTGTTGTTGATTTCTTTTGCTGTGTAGAAGCCTTTTAGTTCCATGGAGTCCCGTTCATTTCTTTTTGCTTTTACTACTCTTGCTTTTGGGGTTCATAAGTTTAGTACCTATGTTTTCATCTACGTATTTTATTGTTTCAGGTCTTATATTTAAGTCTTTAATTAATCCATTTTGAGTTTATTTTTGTGTATGGTGTCAAATAGCAATCTAGTTTCATTCTTTTGCAAATGGCTTTCCAGTATTCCCAGCACCATTTATTGAAGAAATTTTCCTTTCTCCATTGTATATTTTTGGCTCCTTTGTCAAAAATTAGTTGCCCATATATATGTGGGTTTATTTCTGGGCTCTCAGTTCTGTTTCATTTGTCTGTGTGTCTATTTTTCTGCCAGTACCATACTGTTTTGATTATTATAGCTTTGTAGAATAATTTGAAATCACGAAGTGTGATACTTCCAGCTTAGGTTTTTCTCCCTCAGTTTTATTTATTTATTTATTTATTTATTTATTTATTTAT